TCTGGACCGTCTATTCTTCACTACCGATTCATATCTTCCAAAGGTGCCACGAGACGACCCACGTGTATGGCCACGTTTTTGCCATCATGGAAGCACCAAAAAAGAACAAATAAATACACTTTTTAAAAATAAATTATTTTCCTTCATTATTATGAAAAGAAAAATATAAAAAAAAGTCCCACAAGCCCGACAACTGCTTCGAATCCAACGGCTGGGATAAATAAATGATCCAATGGATAAAAAGTAAGCCACGCCAGTAGAGAGTTATTGGCATCTAGAGGCTAAAGAGCCAACGAGGCTTTTTTTTTTTTGCGTTGGCGTAAAAGAGCTTCTATCCACGAAGTGGTCCCTACATTACAAAATGCGAGTAACATGGATGTATCTACGTGTCGATTACCCATTGGGTGATGTAGTAAATATTGTCTGGGCTCTCTACTTTTGTTTATTTATTTTGTGTACAGTACAAACTACAAAGAAATCAGAGAGCATAATACTAGTATAATTCTACTTAGGTTTTCGATGACGTAAGCAAAAGGTAAAGACCACGTCAGATTTGAATCAAGATCGACTGTAATGCTGCTTAAACGCCGCCTAGAGTAAGAAAAAACGTGTGTAAATTATAACTTCGAATCATCTGACGTGGCTATCAATATTTGTAGTGGAAAAACAAATAAAAGATTATTATTATTGCTGCTTGCTTCGTGGGGTCGAAAGTCAGAAAAGGAGATTTAAAATCCAACGGCTCAAACGTGTCCCCGACAAAATGACGTGTCCGTCTGGTAAGCGGATAGTCTTACTTACGCATTCATGTGGGCCCGCTTGTGACGAGGACTCGATTCCTCTAGCTTGATTTTCCGATATTACCCTTATGACTTCACTCTAATTCCTCGACGTACCATTTCCTATAGCCGCATTGTTTGAACTTTGAAGTTTGAATATAAAAAGCCTCATGTTCACACTATAGGCAATTCGGCTTCACGGTTAAGCATGCAACGTAGTAGGCCTAGAGCCCATATTATAAGGCTAATCTCAAAAAGCTAGGCCCAATTTCTTTGTACTATTTTAAAAAAACACGTAGTCAATATGTGTAAATAGAAAAGTAAAAAATCCAATCGAATTTACAGAGCGAGGAACTCTTTAAACCTTAACTTTTACTGCTCCTCCTTAGGCAATTACAAAAGACACTCGTGGTTAGAGCTGGCTACATAACGAGATAATACAACTTAAACATGGCGATGTAGAGAAAGAGAGACAGATAACAGTCAGTGCAGGTCTGAGGAACGTTTAATGGTGAGCTCGGCTCTGAGATGGAGAATGCCATTGATGAAATGCTGACTGTCATCAGCGATGAATGAAGTCCACGGAATACCGAAAAGGTTTCTGTAACCAACCGCTTTCCCCCCTGTGAATGTGTAATTTCCTTTGTATTTGCTTACGTATTCTTCGGTTGATTTTTTATCTCTTGCCGCGAATTCGTAGTCCACACCAAAACTCACAGCTCCTTTCTCTTGCATTCCGAGGAATAGCCCAAAGCAGTGGAACGAGCTTTGCTGGTCCATGTTGCAGTGTGCCGAGAGGAAGAACCCTTGACCTCCTAAGTGGAAGGCCTGAGAATAGACTCTTCCCGAAGGGAACAATCCTGCGCATTCCTCTCGCTTCAAGTCCAGGTACACTACACATTGCGGCCGAGGAAGCTCAAACTCTACCACTTTTACGGGTCTGTATTTGTAAGCCCTCTCTATGAAACGGCGATTCAAGGAGTCTGATCCTTCAGCTGCAAGGATGCGTTGCCTGTGTGGGGCTTCTGCTTTGAAGAAGAGCGCTTCTAATACTTGCTTTGATGCTACTTCATGCTCAAAATCGCTACACGTTAGTACCTTTTTCAGCTTTCGACACGTCATGTACGGGAAGCGGATGTAGAGCGCAAGGCGTGAACCCAGAATCTCTCTACGGTCTTCCAGTGAACTGTACTGTCCCCTTGCCCATTTCAAGACAAAATCATAAACAGCATCCTCAGAAGCAATTTGGAGATCATCGCTCGACAGAATCGCCTCAATCCCAGCCAATGGTAAGGCCATAACCTCATCATGAAATCTGCACAAGATGGTAACACATGAATACAAGAATTATACAACACTGAAGTAAATGCATTTCAAACCAGTGGAGAGTCTTACTTGGTAATATCCTTGTAGCGGGAGGCAAGGAACTGCTTTGCTGCATCGGTTAGAGGTTGGACTGCTTCAGCCATTAAAACACTAGAGGGAAGCTCGAGATAGAGCAAAGCGGAATCAGGGGTCATGGGCATATTGCGCAGTAGTCTACTACAATACCTCATGCAGGAAGCAACCTCAAACTTGTCAGCAGCCATAAGCACATCTAATAAAGCAGGTGCCGTTGTGACACTTAGAGAGTTGCTATACATAAAGTTTAAAAGCTCCATCAAAGCACCTTCCTCTGACATACACATAAAAGCAGAACATGAGAAATCAACATTGTGGACTCTCTTAAAGCTAATATCATTTCACGGATACAAGATATCATATATGCAAATCATAGCCAGCAACTTGAGTTAATACAAAAGGAATAAAGAATCAAAAACAATAGACGCCAACAGAGAGCTAGTAGAGAATTGATGCCAATAAGACGAGATTGACAATAGCAGAAATGAAGCAAAAGCTTGACTGAACTGCCGTACCTTGTGCACTAATTCTAAGGGTTACATGTCTTTGTTCTGATTCCCTCATTCCATTAGAAAACAGCTACAACAGGGTAAGGAAAACAAGAAGCAAAAGATAGCATTACATACAAGATAAACAAGAGCAAACAACAAGAATACAGAAGAAGAAAAAAACGTTAATACCTTGTAGAAAAAGGGGCTTTTGGCAGCCAAGATAGGAGAACTAATATGCAATTCTTTAACTCTAACAACAGTAGAACAATCAATACCCCAATTTGGCTCGCTAGATGCATCATCATCACCTAAAAAAAAAATTATAAACAAAGCTATAACGTTTTAGACAACTTACTTGAACAACAAAAAGCTCTTCTGAAAATTAAAAAGTATCACAAATCAGACAATGTGAAATTTAGAATACAATAATTGATCAAAGTACCTGATAAAGCCTCTTCCACCATGGCTTCTCCTTCATCGTCAAGATTATCACCACCAGGACCATCATCCATATCAGGTTGGTTATTATCGGTTAAAATCTGTTCTTCAGCACATGCCACAATGTCTGAAATCGCAACTGGAAATGCAAAATGTATAAGTTTCTTAAACATTTTAAAACTGAAACCCAAAATCCCTAAACCAAAGCATCAGAACAATTCTTAAATATCAGAGATTCCAGCGGATCAAATCATTATTCAAACGTACCACCATTGTCCTTCTTGTTATCCTCTCTTCTCCTCTTGCGATGACGAGCCCAATCGGCAATACTCGTGCATCCTTCACCATCAGACCTAGAATCCGAAGGCCCACCCAAGATCTCGATCCGGAGCAAACGATCGGAGAAGTTACTGTCATTGAAAGCGAAACCAAAATCACCTTCGGAGGAAGAACCATGGCGAGAGAAATTGGAATCCATCTCCGTCTTAGGGTCAAATAGATCGGTGTTATTGGAACCTCTCATTCTCCTTTTCGAAAACCCTCTTCTCCGTCTTCCCTCCGGCGAGAACCGAGCAGAAGAATCAGGAAAACAAAAAAGGGTAAAAAATTTCGAAAAGGTTTTTTGAGGAACGAAAATAACAAAGAAACCCTAAAAAGGTCTTTTTTTTTTTTTTTTTTTTTTAACTTCAGACAAAGAAAAGGACAAAAGAAGAGCGGGTCGACGTTGAACGGTTATGGTAACAGGTCGGTGACGGGATAAATAAATGAAAGGCTAATTAAAGACAAAGAGGTTCGTTAATATGCCTAACTAATTAATTAACCGGTTCGCTTTGGTTCTTTTTCCGGTATTATGCATAAATCGCGTTGGTACGATTGTAATTTGACTTATATAGAATCCTTGAAATTTGTTGGTTCGGATTCGATTTTCAATTTAAAACAATTTAAAGAGATTAGTTTTGTATTTTAGGGGAGATTTAGAATTTACTTAATTAGAAAATAAGAAAGTTCGAAGTTTTATTTATTTATTTGATGTTGCTCTGGTATAGGCAAAATTAGGACTGTAATTGGTTGGAAAGCGTCAAATTTGGTAAGAAGACAACTCGTTCAACAAACGGCAATGCCTTATAATTATATCGTTAAATATTCGTTGGAAACTTGGATTCAAACGTTTAATTTGGAGTTTTTCTTTTAATAAAATAAAATTAGTTCAACCTTTTAGACTTTGTTGATTAGATTTTGACCGAGTGAAACTTGGTAATGCAATGATAAACTTAACAAAAAATTGGACTAATTTATGAATGAAATCCGGCCGGTATACACTTGTGACTCATCTACCAAATCAAACGTATTTTAAAAATTTAGACGAAACTTGACCAAGGCACCAAACATTGTAAAAGCTTAAAATTAACAACACTCACAGGACTTAGTGGAACTACATAGAGAGTTACTTAACTAATGTTAAAAACCAAGGAACAAGATACATTAGTTTTAATTTATATCACCATTCATATCATATCCCTATGGTAAACCACCATTCATATCATATTTTCAAGTTGGCATACGAACATCGATCTTCTCGTATTAAAACAACATTAATATCGCTTCGAATTCGATGCAAGCATCAACCCCCAAACACCTGCAAATAAACATGTCAAACTGAAAAAAAGAAAAAAGAATGCAGTAGAGAAAAAGAACAAAAAAGGTATGAGAAAACTATGTGAAGCACTGACGAATCCAACTTTAAAATCACATTTAGAAGAAGAATTATATTTTTGATATATGGTACATAGTAATTAGCAAACCAAAAACTCAGTTGGTAAACTATGTTAGTAGAAAACTATATATATCATATATTCTGTTTGTAGGTATATAAACAAAGAACAGAGACTAAGAAAAGAAGAAAAGGAGCTCCCTTCAATCCAAACGAAGAGAAGAGAAGGATAGATATAGAAGAAAGAATCTAAGAGGTCATGCAATCCCATGAAAGTGTGCTTTGTTAACCTACGCACTCTCTATGAGGAATCCATGAACTCTTAGATTCTGCTTTTTAGTTCCTCAAATCTTGTCCTCTTCGTTTTGGAGGAAGGGAGCTCCTTCTGTTACACTTGAAAAAACAAGTGTCCAAAAAGACTATCATTTTTACTTTAAAACGAACCAAAACACTATCGAAAGAGTTACATATACAGATGGTGATGAACTGATGAGGCTTATGATGATGTGAAGATCGAACAAGATGTGTAAAGTGGATTTATATAATGAAAGAGCATAAACCCTAGTCTACTCCTAAGGACAATTATGGACAAGTGTTAATAAAAAATGGAAGAATATAGAAGAAGAAATGGCAGTAAATCCTATTGTCATAAATTAGAGATTGAACATAATCTAATCTTGTTGACTAGCTAGATTCTCTTTTAGAGAGAGATACGGTTAGGGTTAGGGTGCAACTTTATTTGATAAACAATCAAATACATACCTTTAGTTGTAATTCTCGTAGTTAAGGAGTATTTGCAAATTGCATTAAGACTATACAGATAATTGCGTTAGATTTTAAATGTACAGAAAACAATAACTAAACCAACCGTACTTTTGTATATTGAAGAGAATCCATACACTAGAGTTTGGTCAATCGCTATTACCGACACATCTTTGTCTTGTCTTTTTTTACCTCTATTAATCGCCAATCACAATCAGTCTTCTTAAAGCGTGTTGTGAAATTTTAGATGACTAAAGATTTGAACTACCGGTTTAATTGTCTCTTCTTTACGTTAGATTTTTTTCTTCTTAACTACAAATGCCAAAAATAGTTGACCGGAGTTGTGTATCAATGTCAATGTATGTGAACTGTTGACAAAATTAGGTTTTTTAATTAAAATATTTAAGTGGTTTGGTTAGTTTTTTTAACGAGCATTAATATTAACCACAACCAAATAATTACTCCAACATGAGACACGAGTTATCAAATTATCAACCGGATCACTCTGGTTTTAAAGAAGAACGTAAACGTCGACTCTCGACACGAGCTTCCATCAGCTTATCCTTGAGAGTACGATGATTATTCTCTCTGATCATCACATTCACATTTCTCGGATGACTCTTCGAGAAAGTTCTAGACTTTTCTTGACTCTCATGATCATCAACGTTCCTTGGACTACTCTCTGGATGAATCTTATCTCCTTCCGAAGACATTGATAGATTAAGAACTTGGCCTGAGCTCTTCTTCTTAAGCTGCAATTTGTTATCTCTTCTTGTTCGCTTTTCAAGCCCTTCTTCGAGTTCCTTCAAGCAAACCCTCTGATGCATAGAAACCGAGTCATCTGGCTTTGCTCTCAAGCCACTTCCTTTACTTGACTGTGATGTACTCTTCTCCTTAGCTCGCAAAAATGTTTTATCATCTTCCTCTAGCTTCATTTGTAATCTCTGGTCATTCCACACTTCTGCAATCTGCACAATTACTTTATCACTCACTGGTGACTTATTCCCAATCCTTCTCACCTTATCTTCATACTCTTTAACCGCTTTTGCAAACTCATCGCAGAGATTTTCCACAACAACACGTTCTTGTCTCTCCTTTTCAAGATCTTTCAAAGCTTTTGACAAACAATGCTTCGCTTCACAAAGCTCGCGTGTTAGCTTCCGGTGCAAAGTCTCTGACTGCTTTCTGACTTTTCTCTCATCATCTAACTCCCTCTTTATCGATCGAAAGACATCTTTTACCTCTTCTTCTTCTTTATTCTTCCTCAGTCGCCTATCGCTTTGCTTCTCCCGTTGCTGTACCTCCTTAATCTCGGCTCTACATTCATCCATCTCCATCTTTAGAGCTCTAACCAAAGACATATTAGCAGTATTCTGTTCTTCGAGACTCCATATCCGGTTTAGCACCTTGAGAAGCTTTGTAGAGGAACCCAAACCATAGCTCGCGGACTTTACCACCGAAGAACCTGTCTGACTAAACGCTGGCTTACGCACCACAACCTACAAGTACATTAAGCCAACACACGCCAAATCCAGCTCAACAACAAGATTGTTAAATAGCAATTCCTTGGTTACATTTAGAGTGAAACAAAGAGCAAAAGACATTTTCTCACCTCCAATGAACTACTGCTGCAACTTGCAGGAGAGATTGGTCGCAACAGATCACCATTTCTATGATCATCAGTTGCTGCAATTTGCCTCCTCAAGCTACCTCTACTTGGTGGCTGCAAATTAAAACTAACTATATATAAATGACATTTTTTTTCCACAAAACGTTCAAATTCTAAACACACTTAAATCAAGGGCTCTAGTAGACCCATCATAAAGATCACAACTTCACGACCATGAGATCATAGTCCAGATTTCCTAAAGACCCATCATAAAGAACAACACTTTGAGATATTCTCGGTGGAATTTGCGCAAAAATGAGAATATTCCGGTGGAATAATACTCTAAAGTCACCATAAAGATCAAAACTTTACGACCTACCAAAACAAGAAGACTAAAACCCTACATAAACCCGTCAAAAACATTCAAGCAAATCCAAAACGCCAAAATTGTTTACCTGATGATCGTGAAGCGGACTACGGGAATGTGATTCAACATCTGAATCCCTTCGTCGACACCGTCGCAGCTCTATTCTTTGCCGGAATTGTTCAGTTTCCCACAAATCAGCACACAATTTCCGGACAGAAACCTCTGAATTCGTCAAAAACTCCTTCGTCTCGACGACGGCGGAGGAAGCTCCGACTCGCGGCGGCGAAAACTCGAGCCGCCACGTGGGTGGAGGAGTAGAAGGACCAGCTCTCCTACTATAACCCATGAAACTTCGTCTCAGCTTTTTCTCCATTTCTCCTTCTTCACATTCTCTCTCCATCTCTCTGTTCGTGACTCTGTTTCTCTGGTTGTCTTCTTCTTCAGTCGATATTTAAGGCTGTTGGGATCTTTCTGTTGTCTCTTGTAGCTGGAGACAGTTCTGTTTCTTTCTTCTTTTCCTTAAAAATTCTCAGATCACTAAATGGCTTATCCTTAAAATTGTCGATCTTTCTTTATCATTATTTATACAAAAACCCAAAAACGGGATTTATTGTTAAGTATGATTGTAATTCATACTAAAATTCTTTGCTTTTTATAACATTAGTATAATGTTACAACATCAAAAGCCTGTTACTCTCTCCCGACAAAGATTACGAGTTCACTCTTGACTTTTTCTCCCTTCCCAACAAAGCCATAGATTTTCCAAATTTTATTTACTGCAAGGGGAAATATATCTCTCAGATTACACTTCAGACTTCAGAGTCAGAGACAGAGGATGCGTGTGAATAACCTTTTTCACCTTTTTACTATTTTCTTTTCTCAATAACCTTTTTTCTCCTATAAACAATTTACGAACTTGTATATTTGGATCACAATAGTTACAGTAGTATACTACTGCTACGTTATAGTGGTGCAGTAAAAGTCCGATTGGTCGCAATGATAGTAGTCACTGTGACACTGATGAATAGAAACGAAGTATCTTAAGTGTATATAATTTGTGTTTAGATGAAATGCATTTCTAAGATAAGAATTAACTTTTGATGGATGTACAAGTGAGTGGGTGAATGATAACCCCTTGAATTAGTTAATTATGCTAGTAAATTTGGGGATTGAGAGTAGGCTAATAGAGTCATTATGAGGTTAAATGGAAAGTTAATAAACGATTAAAATATAAATCATTCGTATCAGAAAATAACCATGCTTGAAGATTCCCAGTCCTTTAATGCTATAGTCTAGAACTACAAGGCTTATTATGACCAACAACTGACACCATTTCCTTTTTTTCAACCATAGATTGGGTGGGAATGAGATTATATCATTACTTATTATTTCTCATGCACATGTTAATCTTTGAAAATTGTAGTTGTTGTAATGAGAAAGCACATAAGAGATTATGGAGATGAGTGTAAATGGCGTTGGGACGTGAAACGGGACCACAGGAGATGAATATTTTTTTTTTTTTTTTCGTCCACAGGAGATGAATATTTGGCGGCTAATAGACAACCTAACGTGACGATGAGAAAGAAGAAAACGAAGAGTGAGTTATGGCATGAAAAGGATGGACTATGTCCGCACGAACCACACACTCATTCTCTTTCTCCCAAAACAAATTTGAAAGGTAAAATTTCAATGTAATACATGAAATTTACTATGAGTTCTTGTGGTCCACCTTTGGTAATGATGTGTGTGGTGGATGATGAACTTCACGTAGAGCAATTTAAAAAAATAAATGAACTATAGATGCCAAGATTCTTTTGATATGAACATTTGAAATAAACTTTAACAAACAATTAAAAACATTTGAAATAACTTAATAATAATAAAAAAAAAACATTTGAAATAACTAATGGGTTGATCATTGTATGGGCCTGAATATATTGGGCCTAACACAAAATATAGTCGAATTTGTCAGAGCGAATGGGTCGTTTAAGGAGGTTATCAAAGAACTGGGTCGAAGAAGACCGACAGGCAAATATTTGGATTCTCGTTGGACAATTTTTGAATTCTCGTTTTCTATACTTGATAGGATGGAGATGGATACAATATATGAGGAATTGAGACATATCAATGTTTATGGGTGTTACAGTACGGCATCGGTCGGACTTGCGGACATTGGTTTGCTTGCACGACGTCTGATCTGTGTCTTCTTCTTATGTGACAGTTTCTTCTCAAGGCTTTTGACCCGACTGGTTAATTTCGATATGACTTCTAGTTGTTCTCGGCCTGCCTTAACCAACGTCTCCATCGTTTCCTTGAATCGCTGGTTCTCCTCCATCAGCTTCTTGGTTTCTTTTGATATCTCAGGTTCAGTGATTTCAGGTTCCCGAGGCTGTTCGTTCAAAATAACTTCTGGCTCTAGAGGCTGTTCTTTCACAATGACTTCTGTCTCTGGAGACTGTTCTTTTTCATCTTGTGGCTCAGAAGTTTCTTGGCCAATGCCTTTGGAGTTATCGGGCGAGTGGTCAACTTCAGTTTCCTCATGGCTCGCTGTTTTAGGGTCCATTGCAGTCATCTTCCCTTCACGAATATATGAAGATGATGAATCTTGTGAAAGAGGCTCTGTTTCCTCGTCAATCACTCCAACAGGTAGCTCTGA